CTAGCCATAAAAGACACCTAGACACTAGCCAAGACACCTAGCCACTAGCCACCTGCACCAGCCACACCCCCTGTCTGAGATTACAACTGAGATGCTGAGATTACAACTGAGATGAAAGAGCCATTCAGAGAGAGAAAGAGAGAGAAAGGCAGCCATTTCTGTGATGAACTCAGCAGTCTTCCAAATCAGGCACGTACCTGACAGTCGTCCACATCAACTTCGAGGAACACAACGTTGGTGTACTTTTCAGAGAGGGCCTGGAAAAGTTACAAGGAAAAACCCACAGTGGTAATAATGGTAGTCCACATATACAAGCTTTTTCCCCTTCAAATTAAATCTTAATAGTTTGACACATCAACCAAGGTCTGAAGTCAAAGCAAACCCACACGTCAACTTGAAGACTAGAACACTCGTCAACTTGAAGACTAGAAGACTACGCGAATGAACGAACCTCTGAAAGTTGTGGATGAGTTGCCAGTGTCAAATCTAAGTTGTATGATTTCTGTGCTAGAGGTCAGGCCACCCCCCCCACCCCACTAGCCATCCTCTCCAAACACATCTCTCACACAGTAGATGTTTAATACTCACGTGAAAGAAAGGTTTGATCATTTTGCAAGGTCCACACCACGTGGCCGAGAAGTCAACGACTACGAGTTTATCTCCTGCACCATTTAAGGCGTCCTGAAAAGCAACCTAAGAAGAAACAAAGTGCACACGTGAAATGCTTTATTTCCAAAAGGTTTGATGAAACTCGAGAATACGCGACACTAAGTGCAAAGCAGAGGTCTGGCTTTCAGGGCGTCTTTCTTAGTATGTTTGTGAGGCATTATGGCACTTAGTGTAATGCTATTTGAAACAAGTGTCCTGAGCACTGACACTTGTGTCGTGTCTTCAGGAATATTTACAGGTAGATAATTAGCATTATCAATAGTCCGACTACATGAAAACAAAGATGAAAAAGGTTTCGCTCTTAGGTATATGGTAGGTATATGGTACATACTAATGGAGTGATGCATGACTGTTGATACGGGTCACTTCTCGAAGTCACAAAAGCAGATTTTTGCAACTGAAACTTCACAAGGCACTTTATCAAAGCCAGAACTTTCTGATTACGTTATATTATTGTGTTAAAGAGTCAGGGGAGCAGTCTCCCTCAGATCCATCCTCTCAGCCCATCAATGCTGAGGGGCATTAAGCTAAGCTTATCTCCTTGTTCTCGTGCTCTTTACAACTGGAGTTTCTGGAGCTGAGATGAAACTATTTCCCTTTGATTTCTATCCTTTAACTCAAAAGTTTACCCTTGATCTCCTCACTGTTGACCAAATGAGTAACAATTTTAGTTTCTCATGAAGACAATTTTCCTTGGATATTATTTGCATCAAGAATTCATGTTAGTCACACTCTACCAGCAAAAATGATCAACAAATCCCTTACCACTAACTTCTCCAAATAATTTCCTAATGACCTTGATACTGTAACCCTAGGAAACTTAACCTTGTTAACAAGGGACTTTTTTTTTTACAACCACAATTAGTGCTGACCAAAGCCAGGGCAACCAAATCAGCACACAAACAACTTATATCTAAGCCGAGGTTTCCCTCAAGGGAAAAATGCTGCTCACATCATTTGTAATTATACTAAACTTTCCCTTTCTTTGAAAGCTAAGAATCCTATCAGATCTGGTCCACTAAAGAACAGAAAACAAGACACCACTAAAAAAAACCTAAAGTGAATTCCCATGAATTACAGTTCTGGAGGTCCTCATTTCTACCTCAGCGGGGGGTGGGGGGTGGGGGTGGGAGGAGAGTGCCACTCACAAATGGCATTCCAAAGAATGGTAGGTCATGACTTCTGTAACCTCATCTATTATCTGGGGAGATGTGGACTTGGGATGGGGTGGTAGGCCAGGGAGAGTGAGTTCAATGGGTCAACCCCAAAGTGCATTGGGTTGCCTGCCTGTGGCTCACCCATGTGCTTAAAGGGACTTAAGATTCAACTGCAGGTACAAACAACAAGGTTAATAATGGGCTTCTTTACAAGAGAAGAGGAAATAAAGAACTCAGTGGAAAAGAGTTAATGGGTCCTACCAGTTCTGCTGACTTGGAACCCCAAAAGCACAGCTGAGACCTGGCAAAAAGGTAAGAGAAGCCACAAGCCAAAAGACCCCCAAAGGCCCACATGTCTGGTTTTTTATCAAACCTGGCTGCTTAACTCCCACCCTCAGGTCTCAGCAATCCTCCCTTTGGTGATGATGGGGTTTGTAGTTTAGGTGTCTGGAGTGGGGGGGAGAGTCCCCAAAACCTGTATCTGTAGAGTTTGTTCAGGACATCCTCCCCCCCCCAACAATAATACAGAAATTATTTTTCTAAACCATCAGTTTTTTATTCAAAAGAGTTTCATTGAAAGCCTTCCCTAGTGTGTGTGTGTTGTGTGTGTGTTTTAGGTCATACCAGCTGTAATGTACTTAATGGTGCAGGAAAGAACTCAAGGAATGATCACAATATCTTGGAAAGGTTCCTTTCAACACAGAATGGATTTCAATCACATCCAAAAGCTCCAAACCATTCTGAATCAAATTCAAGGTAAAGTTCTTAAAAGCGGCCTGCAACGATTAACTTTTGGTTTAACTGAACCGAGGTACAGAACCAGACGTGCACACTGCACGACAAAGTCTCTTATCCTGACACTTAAGTCTGCCTGTAATAGACATTAGTTTGGAAAGGATCACCGTTGTCTTACTACGAAACAAACTGCAACTTCTAGGACTCAAGACGCTACCAGTGAGGAGTCATGAAGGTCCCCATCATTGACAACCATTCTGAAAACAAAAGAGGGTATTTCTGGGAAATAAGAGTAGAGTCTAGCACCTTTCCCTAAACATCATCTTTCCAAAGGAAACAAATCAACAGAATGGTTCCTGAAACAGCTACCAAAGTACCTGTGTATAGACAACTGGAGTTCAATAAATCAAAAACAACACTAATGAAGAACCTGTGTGACTTCTTTCTCGGGGCACTAACAGCCCAGTATCCCCCTCCTGTCTGAAACAGACCCCAGATGCTAAACTGCCAAGGCAGGGCTGTAGCCAAAGGCACCGCCTTCCACCCACTGGGTAGAACTCTAAGGTGCCACACAAGGACCAATGAAAGGGGTCAGCCTGGGAGGTGTGGCTCAGTGCATCCTCTGTGGCAGATGGATTCCCAGACATCTTTCATAAAGCCACTCCTTTCATGGGTTCTCACCTGTTGGGTTACATCCACCAAGTGCCTTCTCCCACTCCGGGCCTATGTGTGTCAGTAGGGAGTGAATAAAAAGCATGTGGAACAAAAACTCAGTGTTAGGGATAATAACTCTCTTCAAATACTAGAGGGCTGTCAAGTTTAGGTAAAAGCTCATACAAGAGGAAAAAAATAAATGAGGAAAAAAAAAAAAAGAGGATCCCATAGTAAAAAAACTAAGTGAAAGGTGACAATTAAGCCAATCAACATATGTGAGGGGAAAGGGTAGAGTTACAAAGATTCTCAAAGATCATATTAGAACCAGATCCTTTTCTCTCAGCATTCAGCCAAAGTGTGGGTGAGTGGGTGAGGGGTGGCAGGAAAGAGCTGCTCAAAAGTTCCTGCAGGTGAGGGTGGAGTGAAAGGGGCACCCTAAGGCTTGAGCTGCATTAACAAACCAAAGGTTCACATTCCTTGACCCAATCTCTGCTCTTTATTATGAACAGTCTGAACTCTACAAAAGGTTATGAACAGAAACACTCACTGAGGCATGGAAAACTGCCTCTAAGTCAGCGACATGTTCAGATTCTGAAATAGTTTTCTAATCACATAAAAAGTGCGGGCAAAGTTGGACTCCCCCCCCCCCAAAAAAAACACAAAAGGTCAGTAACAAAACAGCACACGCAAAATAATCTCAACTACCTGTGGCTGCTTCTAGAAAATCTTTTTTCAAATATTCTACAACGATCATATATACTCTCCGTTCATAAAAGTAACAAAGGATAAAGCCCATTAGAGGAGAACTTCCCTTTCTGAACCCTCCTCAGCGTCGAACAGGTACGGGAAGCCAAGCTGGACCTGGACCCACCTAGTCCCTGCTTTAGTGGGGCATCGCCTGGTCAACGCTTTGCAAGTATCGTCAATTTTCTCTCTCTGTCTCGAGGATTCTACCAGTCTTTCTTGAGTGGCTACAATGTACCAGACACTGTGTTAAGGTTCTCAGTTTCCAAACAGGAGGGCATTTTGCAATAACTCTCCAACATGGTGACACTTTTCGGGCTGGAGCTTTCTTAAAGGACAAGAAGCACCACCTGGGTGCCCGAAGGCCGCTGCGCGCACGCGGGACACGTCTGCTCCCAACAACTACAGATGAATCACAGAAGGGTAGGGCGGCCGAGGCCCCGGGGCCCAGTGTAGCGACTGAGTCATTCCCAAGCCAACGCTGCCGGAAACGCCCAGCGCCGCAGGAGGAGGAGTCCCGAGGGCGCGGCCCGGACCTCACTTCCTCGCGGCCACCTGGGCCGCTCGGCCTCCGGGTCCGACATGCACTCCCGAGGTGGCGTGGGGGATGGGGGTTCCCGTCCCAGAACCGCTCCGTAGGGCCGGACCCAGCACGCGTCGCGTCGGGGGCCAGGAGGTGGGCGAGGCAGCCCTCGGCCTAGATGCGCCCCCGAGGGCGCCCACCCTACCCAGGGCGGGTGAATCGAGTCGCTCCCCGGGGAGGGTGTGGCGGCCAGCGCCCCCCTGCTCTTTCCCCAGGCCCTCCATCTTCGAGCCGGGCCCGTATTCCTTCACCCCGTGCAGGTTTCCCAGAGAGTGCAAGACGTACAGTGGGGACATTCTCCCGGCACCCCAGCAGCGGGCAGCGCTGGGCACCCCGACCCCGCTCTCCACGGCCCTCGTCTCTTCTCCTTCCTCCCTCCAGGGCCCGCCGAGGGCGCGCCCAAGCCCCGCTCCCCGCAGTCCCAGGCCGAGCCGGCGTGTCCCCTTTCCCAGGGATGCGGGGAGGCGGCCGGCCCACCTCCGGCCCGCCACCTTCCCCAGCTATGGAGGCTGCGCACCGCGCCCTGGCCTTCCCCGGGAGTACATACCTTGCTGTCAATCTGCTTCACCATTTTGGCTGCAGGAGTCTGACTAGCGACCTTACGAAGCGATGGAAGCGGATCCAAAGATCGAGCTTGAAGCCGAGCGCCGCCCTCCTCCGCTTTATACGCGGAATCCACTTGGGGCGGAGCGCACGGGCGCGCGCGACGTGCGTGTGGCGGGGGCGCGCCCGCTCGGGCCTCCCGCGCCCGCCAAACCCAGACAGGCCCCGCCTCTCAGGGTAGCCAAGCCGCCGGTCCCGACTGGACCGCTGCTGGGGGGCGGGGCTGTCTGGGCGGGGCGCAGGGCGGGACTCCGGGGAGCCCGGCCCCGAGCCCACCGCGCCGGCAGGCCCGCGCGCAGCCGGGAGTGGCCTTCTGCGGATGCCATGGGCTACCTAAGAGGCACCTGCGCTGTGCTCGGGGCGGGGACGCGGGGAGAAGAAGAGCCACTTCCAAAGGCTCAGGTCATCTGGTGCTGGGGGAATGGCGGGGGGGGGGGGGGGCTTGCAGACTTTGATCGAACGCACCCAGGTTGGAGAGGGGCCCGCCTGAACAGCGGTTGGATTCCTTAGAAGGGCGCGTCACGGCAGGGTCCCCCATCCCTGCGAACCCCACAGAGTGCTGAGTAATGGTGACCAGGAAGTATCTCCACGTGTGCGCCCCCGCCAGCTTTCTAGAATATCTCCCCTTACGCCTTCCTGTTCTTTCACTTTCCCTGAGAAATCCGCTGCTCAGCGTGACACAGCAGTTTAAATGGTGGACTGAGCACTGCAGGCTGCGGGTGCTACTAACTGGACTTTTGAGAGCAGAAAGCTGACTTGGAGAGCAGATAGCGAGCCTGGTGAACTCTGCAAGGTAGTCACACAGTTGGGATCCAAAGCAGGTCTTAACTGGCCGGTGCCTCAGTTTTCTTTTCAATAAAATGGGAATCATGATCTCTATCTCATGGCGTTGATGTGTTTAGAGGATTATAAAGTTCTTGTAAAGTGATCAGGCCAGTGCTTGGCACATAGAACCCAATAAATACTTGTGTTTATTGCAGTTGTGAGTACTAATTAGGCTTGCTTGGTGTCATGGGGGTGGGGGTCTGTGACGAATCGGGGAGCCTCATAGTTATAATGGCACTAGTACATGCATTTCTGTGAGCTTTTTTTCTGCCACTGGTTTGAAGCCTGGAACAGCGAATTGGGAGTTTGTGTTGGTGCTGTAACAGGGTGGTCCCCAGGCAAAAGGAAGGTTCCAGGTTCCCTGCCCCACCCAAGGAAGGGTGGAGCTGAGCAGTGACCAGAGAAGCTGGAGAAGAGGCTGTAGAAGGAAGGAGGCAGGATGGAGGCCAGGAGACCTAGAGAAGGTGCGTGGAGCAGAGACATGTGAAGATACTGCACTTGCCTCTTGGTCCTGGACTAGTTGGAATAGATGTGGCTGAGAGACCCGTGGGGAGGCTAACTATGCAGCTTTTATCTTCATTTGGATTTTGCTTTTCCTCCAGGACTTTTATGTTTCCAACCCTTTCTCATGGGTCCCCGCTGGAAGGTGCTGTACACCTGTGGCAGGCTTTTGGGACTCGCTTTGGACCAATCCTGTTTGGGAGAACTTTACCCATGAGGGGATGGGCAACTTTGGGTGCTAGATTTGGGAACTATATTTTTTTGTCTTGTCTGTATTGCACACTAACTGTATTAAAGCTTCTTTCTGTTAAAAGGCTTATATATTTTAGTTTGATGCAGTGGAGGGCAGAACCTATGGAGAGCATGTGGGCTTGGGGGGTTTTGGGGTGCACCTCTCCCTGCCCTGTATCAGTACCAGGAAGCATGTTGCAGGTTGGGTCTGGCAGGACTGGGGATTGTGGAAAGTATGTTCCCTGGCCTTTTGAAGCCAGTTGGGCCTCTCAGCAGCTGGCACTGTGGGTGATGAAGGTGTTCTACTGGAGAAAGAAATGAGGGTCAGCTGAGGGTTCTGGGAGATAGGATACTGTGAGGGGGTGGCTGGGGGGTGGGGGGAGGTATCAAAGCATGACTTTGCGGAGCAGGGCACCTGTAGATGCAGCCACATTGAGGTGTGATTGACTGGGATGGTGAACTGCTCCCGGGCTTCCCCTCCCTTTCTTTTTCAAGTAGAAGCAAAAAAAAAAAAAAACAAAAAAACAAAAAAAAACAAGAGGACACAACATTACAAACAGCCTAAGACACGATGGACAGACTGGTCTGAATACAGGCGATTTCCCAGGGAGCAGAGGCTAATGGGACAGACAAGAGGTTCTTCGTGTACCAGGGACAGAATATAAAACCATTTTCTGCTGCCGTATCTGCAATCCAATTTATACCCCAGCTTCTGAGTCTAGTGGTTGCTGCACTTACATGGAAGGTGACAATAATTAAAACAGTGGGAAGGGGAAGTACAGACCTCCACTGGCCACCTTCAGCTGATACCTCCTCATCAAAGACCGTCCTAATGTCAGGTGTCTCAGTTAGAGGACATACTGGCTCCTCTCCACCTCCACCTTCATAGGACTAATGCGGAGTGGATATGGGGGAGCTACAGTGACAGAGGACAGGCAAATGGAAGGCTGGTATATGTTAAGAGCTCACACCCTCCCATCAGACTCCCTGTCCTCGCTAAGGAGTGGTCCCCTTTACCACTCAGCAGCTGGGAAACTCCAGACAGGTCTAAAAATAGCTTGTCTCAGTTTCCTCTTCTATAAACTGGGGGGTAATAATACCTCCTGGTACTATAAGGGTTGAGTGAACTAAAATATAGGTAAACTGCTTAGAACCATAAATGCTATATAAACTGTGATTACAGATTATTAAATGGCCTGGTGAAATCTCCCCGGGATGATGACAGAGGGGGTGATAGTCAAAGTCTTAAGTGAATGAAGTAATCAGGAAATTCATAATGAACAGTGAGTGCTATAATACAAATACCTGAGGAAAAGGATTTACCCCAAAAGATGAAAGACATGGGTTCCACCTGACCACAGAAAAAAGCCCTCTGCCAGTTGTGGCAAGGAGGTGACATTCTGAGAAGACTGTTTAGGGCAGCCCAGTAAGGGAAGAGATTTGTACAGAGGTAGGATGAGAGAGGATCTTGTGAAGGCCTTCATTTTGGGAACTGGTTTTGCATAACAGTCAGAACTCTCTTTAAAGAAGACATTCAAGCTCAAAAAAATAAAAAATAAAAAATTCCTGACTTAAACTAAAAGGAGAATAATAACTCAGGTTACCAGGAACACCCGTCTCTATTGTTTCATTCTCAGTAGACCTCCACCTTCAGTAAGACTAGCTGAAACATCTCCAGGCTTTTAGGTTCCTATCAAATTAGTATCCCTAAAGGAATGTTCCTATCTTACACTCAAGGAAATGTCCCGGATGTAGGCCTTTATTGATATAAGTGGGGGTAGGGCTTAGAGGGGTCATCGGCCATACTAGAATCATTCAGTTAGGAGGGAGAACATCCTGGAGGTTACCAGAGAAGGGATAGTGGATAGTCACCATGGTCAAGAAAGGACATGCGAAGAACAGAAATGAGTATCATAGATAATGAGCTTGCTTTGGTTTCTGGGTCAGCTCAGGCTGTGGCTCCATGGGGGAGTGTCAAACTAAATCTGCTGTCTTTATTGGGTCCAGGATGGGAAAAATTGCAGCTCCAGGCTTCTAAAGATGTTCTCAAGTCACAGATATTTCTAAGTGTGGCCCCTTAATCACCTCATTCGGCATGGAGGTTGGGGGGGGACTTGAAGATGCCGCAGATTCCTGGGCCACACCCAGAGATACGGAAATGTGCACTTTTAAGAAGAACGCCAGGGCATTAGGTACACTAATGGTTTATCAGCTTTTCCCTGGGACTGTAGAGGGAGAATAGCATTGTAGGCTAGAAGACGGTGTCTAGAGTGAGAGATGAGGACAAGAGAGAAAACTGGAAATGATATGAAAATAGTCAAGAAAATGGAGGCAATAAAAGGAATAAGCACATCTGTGTGGAATAATCATAAGAGCCAGGCCTGGACCTGGGTGTTGTGTATCATTCTTTTCAATATCCCTGAGGAAATATTCATAGATATCATTCTCCCTATCCCACACAGAAGGAAACAGATTCAAAGAGTCATCTTGTCACTCCAAATAATACTGATTCTCATGCTCTGCTCATAAAGGGGAGGAAGGAGCAGAACAGTTTTTTCAAGCAGTCTAGCCACAAATCTTGAATACCCCTCATTTCATCAGAAAAAAATATCTAACTTTCCTTATGCTAATATATGAACTTGGAGAATATTTGAACTGGCAACAATTCTTCTGGAATATTAATTCCTAGTTGGGGTTTTTCAAATGCTAATTTGAACACCCCTAGGAGTAGACATCTGATTAGGGTACTTCAAATATTAGCTGTTTAGATTTTAAAAACTAATAGACATATACACATGTTCAATGCTAAGCATGTTAATATAAACAGGTATGTGAATACCCGTGTGAATAGATACCCTATACCCCACTGTCCTTCATATTCTCTAATGTGCCAGGACCATATTCCTTCCTGGTGTCTGTGTGTTCTACTAGAACCATTTGAATTTATCATGCTCTGCTATATTCTTAATTTCTCAAATATTTTTGTTTGCCTTACCTGAAACTTTTGTTCATGTGCTGTTTCCAGGCATGTTAGGACTGCTTTCAGGCTCTCTCATTCGAAAATTCCATGGATAGCTCTATTTAAAAAAAAAAAAAGGAATAGAGACTCTTGACCATTACCTTATATTACACAACAAACAAGATTTTGCAACACTTCTAGAAGTTGATGTGGGAGATAATCTTTGCAACCTTGAGGAAGGCAAATATTTCTTAAGACAGGACATAGAAGTTACTAACTTAAAAGAAAAAAAAGAAAAGCTAATCTATTTGCCTTCATTAAGAATTACAAATCTCGGCTCTCCCTGGTGGCGCAGCTGGTTAAAGCACAGCACTAAGAAGCTAAAGCCACTTCCTCATGAGTGCGATCCCCGCCTGCTCCGGAGGAGAACCGCTTGGCTCGGCCAGACCTCTCCTGACCCGCCCGCTGCTCCCTGCTCCCCTCTGCAGTGTACTTCGTCGATCTGCCTGTTCTGCTCCCCGTTCTGTACCTGGTGAATCCTCTTACTCTT